TAGTATAGTAGTAGTAGTAGTAGTAGTAGTAGTAGTAGTAGTAGTAGTAGTAGTAGTAGTAGTAGTAGTAGTAGCGGAAGTAGTAGTATGTTGCGGCACTCCAGGCGCACCCCCACCGTGACGTGATCGGCGGGGCGCCCCCCCATCACGCCCGCGACCGGCCCGAATAAACGAATGGGCTCCAGGCTCGTTGCGTGTCAACCTGCGTGTTGCCTTTTGTTCTGGGCGCCCTGACGCTGCGGGTTACGGCCTGCCGAAGTGGGGCACGCCACCTCCCCCGTTGCGCCGCAGGCTAGGCGGCTCCCGCGACGAGCTGTCGGGAGCGCTGGGGGCCGCGGAGGAGCCCCACGGCACGTCCCTCCCCCGCTTCCCAGATTCGGCGGCGAAACCAGGGGGAAGTGAGAATCGGAGGCTTCCCAGTTGCGGGTGATGACGATAGGGATTGGATACCATGGCCGAGGCCACGATATCTCCTTGGATTTCATGCCCAGCTTTCCTTATCTCAGCACGTCTGGTGACCCCTCTGGGCCGCGCACGTGCCTCGGGCCATGATCTGCGAAACCCCCCTTTGGACGCCCGCCCCCTCTTGGACGCCCCCGGGAGAGGGGGTAGGCCTTCCCTGAAGGCGGCGAACCCTGGCGGGAGACTAGGGTGTGGGATTGTCTGGTATTCGCAGGTTCTCTGCGGCTTTGAGCCGAGGTCGCCAAATCGGATCGCTTCGAACGTCTAGCGGATAGCCCAGGTGAAATTCGAACTCGAACGCCACCAGGTGTCCGAGAGAGGGTTGGCCTTCTCAGAAGGCGGCAGGGCTTCTCAGAAGCCCTCCAGCCTTTGAGACGCCGGCTGTGATTTCGGAGAAGGCCTGCGAGGTTAGAGGGTTTGTAAGGCGCCCTGCCGGCTTTGAGACGACCGGCCCCCTCTCACATGCTCCTTGGGCTCGCCGCCGACAGACCCCTCGCGGGGTGGAAAATCATCACGGGCGGTTTTCCGCCATTTTCGGCCTCAGGCGGCCTTTTGCTGGGCCTCGGGTCCAGTCAAAAAACCATTCGTGGCGAAACGCCGTTCCCCCGGAATGGGTCGAGACCTCCGGGGGTCGACGTCGTGAGCAAATCATTATGGCGGGGATCCGGGCTTGCGCCCTCCAGGGGGGCCGTCCGCGGCTGATCGGCGGCCGTCGGCGGCCTTCGGCGGCCCTCGGCGGCCGATCGGCGGCCCTCGGCGGCCCTCGGCGGCCCTCGGCGGCTTTCGGCGGCCCTCGGCGGCCTTTGGCGGCCGTCGGCAGCCTATACGGCCTTTGGTGGCCGTCGGCGGCGCAGCCCCGCCGCGGCTCCGTCGTCGTCGTCGTCGTCGTCGTCGTCGTCGTCGTCGTCGTCGTCGTCGTCGTCGTCGTCGTCAGCGCCGGCACTGGCGCCAGCGGCGGCGTTGGCGTTGGTGTCGGCGTTGGCGTCGTCGTCGTCGTCGTTGTCGTCGTGTGGGGGAGGGTTTTCCCTGCCTCGGTGCGTGGCGAAACGGCATTTAGACGCGCATGTCGTGGCGAGCGAGGCCTGGCTTCGATGTAGTGTGTTAGCCTCCTTCTCCTCCTCCTCTTCCTCCGCCTCCTCCTCTTCCTCCTCCCCTCATCTCGAAGAGTATCAGCAACATGAAGGAAGGAATACGTAAGCAACCGTGAGACTATGCCACACGTGTTTATCTTCCCGTATTATTGGTTCCTTGTGGTTCTCTCAGGTGTTCGTTCATTCACCAGCCATCACGTGTGTGCGCACTCTGCTAAGGCTTGAGAATCAGCATGAACCAGTTAACGACACTCCCAAGCCCCGTTTCTCATCCTCCTCGGAACCTTAATCAAATAGCGCGTGGAGTGTGGCCTTGGAATTCTGCAAGCAGCGAGAACACATAGATCGAGAGAAGGCCTCTTGCTCCGCTAAGAAGCACGTGGGCCACAGCGAGAGCCAGATACATTCACTCTCCGGGCGCTACTCTGCGGAGGGACATCCTCCAGGCATGTGCTCGCACTTGGCACGGGCCATGCTGCAGGCTCTGCCCTCGCGTCTTTCCTGGGTGGGTCCCGCACCGCGGCCGCCTGCGGATCGGTGGGCAGCGGTCGCGCCTGCGGAAGCACAACACGTGTTTTTTGTTCATGCCCCTAGGTCCTCATCTCCATGGGCACTGCACAGGGGCATATGCACAGGCCGCGTCGGAGGCAAGTCTCAATCAGGGCCCGAGCGAAATTGTGTGTTGGGCGATTTCGGGGACCGTATTCGTTTTGAGTTCGCTGTACCTGAGAGGCGGACCGAAGACAACGAGGACGGAGCACGCTTCTAGGTCGAGCCTTGTTCTTCCCCCTCCTCGGAGGAGGAGGAGGAAGAGGAGGAGGAGGAGGAAGAGGAGGAGGAGAAAGAGGAGGAGGAGGAGGAGGAGGAGGAGGAGGAGGAGGAGGAGGAGTAGGACCTTTCCTGCGCTTGCCTACTCGTCGCCCTGGAGACTTCGCTAGTCTCACTAAATATTAGAGGGGGAAACACACACAGACATCAGTAAATGTCGACTTTCAAGAAAATATGGGAAACTATGGGAAGTGGGGGGAAGACAAAAATCTAGAAAATATGTCAAACATCTGGGGAATCCTGGGATTAGTGTGTATTCATTTGTGTGTCCCAGGGCCCCTTCATGAATATTATGCTAGTTGCAGTGCTTGGCCTTTACCAACAGGCTCTCAGTTCTTCCAGGCGTCGCGATCCAAACAACATCTATGCAGGCTGCAGCGGCCGCAGCTAGCCTGGGGGGGGGGGGCACGACGGCAGTCCTGCGCCGTGCCGGCGCGGGCGGCGACCCCGGCGCGGGAATTCCCAGGTCAGGGTGGCCCGTGACGCCGGCGGAAGCCGAATCGGCTGGCATCGAGCGAGCTGCGCCGTCGGGTAGCCGCGATCGTCCAAAGTTGATCGGAGAAGAACTCACGGCATGAGCACGAGCCTTCGACGCCCCACGCGGATTTCCCGGACCTGCGCTGCCCCCCCCCCCCTGGCGGCGTTTCAGGCGCCGCCCCTGGTGCGTTCCACGCGCCAAGGAGGGGAGCGCTGCGCCGATTCAAGAAATCAGGACAGGGGGGAAGGGTGGTAACAGGAGGAGGATGAGGAGGAGGTTTACGGGGTTACGAGCCCTGCACAAAGTTTGTCAAGCGCAAAAAGAGGAGGATGAGGCGAAGGCGGAGGGGGAGGAGGAGGAGAAGGAGGAGGAGGAGGAGGAGGAGGTTTACAGGTTTACAAGCTCCGCAAAAGGAGGAGCAGCTCAAAATCTGTGCAGCGCAAGAGGAGAAGGAGGAGGAGGAGGAGGAGGAGGAGGAGGAGAAAGAGGAGAAGGAGCGAAGACTATCATATCAGGAGGAGAGGACAGAGAGATCATATGGACGTGACATCAGGAATGGGGGTTGGGGGCTCAGGGATCTGGAGTGTGCGAGAGAGAGTGAACGGGGAAGTGGTGGCAGCCCGCCCGCGGCCCATCTCGCCGCCGCAGCTCGGCCGCCTCCCCTCCTCTGGGGGCGGGGCGGGGGGAGCAGTGCGCATCTCGACTCCTCCGGCTCGATTCGATTTGATTTGGGTATTCCGATTTCGGTTCGGTTCGACCTCGGATTCTGATGTGGATTCCAGTCTCTCAGTGGAGGCACTAGCCTGCCGATTTCCACCGGTTCGACGTCCCCCGACTTGGTTGCCGATTTCCGCCGATCCGATCCAGTTCGACCGCCGATTCGGTTCATCCATTCGATTCTGGGCTCTCCTGAAGGGAAGACTGGTCGGTCCACGGACGGGTCTCAGCGGACGTTTCGCTCTGGGCATTGCCCGCTTGGTGGGAGGGCAGGTGGGCATGCGGTGATTCTGGTTGACGTAAAACGTGGTCCTGCTAGAATGGATTGGTGCACCAATCTCGTGCAATCGATTTGCGGGTTGCAAAAGATCTGGGACGTGCAACAAAAATCCGGGGCGCAGATGTATCATGGGACTTTCGCGTACAACACATGAATTGCAATCTAATGCAATGCACCCCCTTTCAGCTGCACCCCCCACTGGGTCAGCCGCAGTGATCCTGCTGAAGGCAGCACCACCCTGGATCCGGGAGGGGATCCAGGCTGTGGGGGCCGCTCCTCGGGCCCTGGTCGGGGAGCCGGTTTGTGAGTGGCAGAGGCTCTCCGTGGCCGCAGCAGCCCCTGCGGTCCCTGCCCAGCGTTCTCTGAGTCCGGCGTTGGCTGTCTCTGTGTCCTGTGGCGGCGTCCGGCCCCCCCCCCTCGCCTGGCGCCCGAAGCTCGCCAGGACCAGCGCCAGAGGTCCCGGCGGGGTCCTTCTCCTCCTCCTCCTCCTTCTCCTCCTCCTCCTCCTTCTCCTCCTCCTCGTCCTCCTCCTCCTCCTCCTCCTCCTCCTCCCCCTCCTCCACAATTACACAATATGAACATACTCTCCCACTTCCCCTGATGGCGTCCCGAAGATATCCGACCCCCGCCGCGTATTGTTTTTTTACACAGGATTCCCGGGAAACGGGTTTTCGCTTGCGTTTTTTCCCAAAATGCTGATCTCGCTGAGGCGCCGGCCTCATTTCTGCTCCCGAATCGTTCCGAATCGTGCTCCCGCTGCAGCGTGGGCCTCATTTTCGGATCGGTGTTTGGCCTCCGTCGTTCAGGATGGCGTTCTCGCCCCAGCGCGGGCCTCTTTCTCGCGCGCCCATCCGCCCGCCACCACCGCGCCGCACCACCCACCACCACCACCACCACCACCACCACCACCACCACCACCACCACCACCACCACCACCACCACCACCACCACCACCACCACCACCACCACCACCACCACCACCACCACCACCACCACCACCACCACCACCACCACCACCACCACCACCACCACCACTCACCACCACCACCACCACCACCACCACCACACCACCACCACCACCACCACCACGACAACCACGCACACACGCACGCACGCACGCACGCGCACCACCACCCACTACGCACGCGCGCGCGGAGCCACAGGTCCGCTACGACACGCGTCCGCGGATAGAGAAAATCAGCGCCATGGTAAGGGATGGGAGGGAGGGGTAGGACGTCAGATATGACGCGAGCGCACCTAGCTTGTCCCCCTCCCCCTCCCCCTCCCCCAGATGCCCCGGGCCCAGAGGTGGCCCCAGGATTTCCAAGGAGGCCCCCACGGCCTCCATGGAACACCCCCCGCGAGGCCGGGAGACCCCAGAGGGGTCCCACATAGAGCCACACATTGGGGGGCACTTGAGGCCAGGGGCACCTGTAGCAGCCCTCGACTAGGGTAGCCCGATGGCTGCAGGGACCTTGGGGCCAAGCACGGAACTGGCAGGATCCTGCAAGGCCTGACTGAGCACATATATTTCCAGTTCCACTTTAAAATTTCCAGTGGGGGCGCTCCGACGACGACGGTCGAGGGCCGCCTAGGACGCTGGCGAGACGGCGGCGCTAAGCGACGTCCACGCGCCGCGTCGCGTCGAAACATGTTCGGATCCACGTTGAACGGGCATGATGTACACTTGGCCGATACACTGCGTTACCTACTCCAGTGCGCGCGAGCAAAAACGACCATCCGCACGCGATGGTATGTTGAGAACATGCACAGGAGCGCGACGCCCAAATGCCTCCCCGAGAATTCCGCACCGGCGGCATTGGAAGTCGCAAAGACAAGCGCCGCGCTGGCCGCCCCGCCCCCACCCCCTGATG